TACACCCTACTGTTACACCCTACTGCTACTGTTACACCCTACTGCTACTGTTACACCCTACAGTTACACCCTACTGCTACTGTTACACCCTACTGCTACTGTTACACCCTACTGCTACTGTTACACCCTACAGTTACACCCTACTGTTACACCCTACTGCTACTGTTACACCCTACAGTTACACCCTACTGTTACACTACTGCTATTTACACCCTACTGTATGTCAACCCTACAGTTACACCCTACTGTTACACCCTACTGCTACTGTTACACCCTACTGTTACACCCTACTGTTACACCCTACTGTTACACCCTACTGTTACATCCTACCTTACTCCTTATCTTTTTTAATTTGGCCTCTGTTAATATGTCCTTGTTATTAATATGAACATGGAACACTTGATTCAGATTATTATTTTCCCACTTGCAGTTGAATATGCAATATTTAGTCGGCCTATGACCGTGGACACACAGTGTTATTTCCAGGTCTGATATTCCATAACCACCACTGGCTGTGCCCGAGTGTTGATAGAGGCCCTTTTAACTGAACTTAGAAATGACTCATTGATCATTGATAAAACATTTACCCAGACAATATCTACAAACCCTGAAGACAAACCCTGTGTGTGTGTGTGTGTGTGTGTGTTTGTTTGTGGTTGTGTGTGTGTGTTTGTTTGTGGTTGTGTGTGTGTGTGTGTGTGTGTGTGTGTTGCTGAGGCTGAGTGGTTGAATATGTTACTGGGTCAACAACCTATAAAGCCTTCATCTCACACCAAAACATCCTGAATGAATCCCATGACTGACTGTGAGGGCATCTTCTGATCTGTTGAATGAACCAACTTCTCAGTATAATGGCCTCACAACTCATCAAAGAAAACAGTTATTAGAGGTTGAGGAGCCAATGATACCCTTGTCCTGTTTCAGTTATTAGAGGTTGAGGAGGCCATGATACCCTTGTCCTGTTTCAGTTATTAGAGGTTGAGGAGACCATGATACCCTTGTCCTGTTTCAGTTATTAGAGGTTGAGGAGACCATGATACCCTTGTCCTGTTTCAGTTATTAGAGGTTGAGGAGCCAATGATACCCTTGTCCTGTTTCAGTTATTAGAGGTTGAGGAGGCCATGATACCCTTGTCCTGTTTCAGTTATTAGAGGTTGAGGAGGCCATGATACCCTTGTCCTGTTTCAGTTATTAGAGGTTGAGGAGACCATGATACCCTTGTCCTGTTTCAGTTATTAGAGGTTGAGGAGGACATGATACCCTTGTCCTGTTTCAGTTATTAGAGGTTGAGGAGGCCATGACACCCTTGTCCTGTTTCTGTCTGCTGGAACCCGTTAGTACAACAACATGAACATAGACCAAGTTTACAGATTTACAAAAGTCCTGATTCCTGGTGACCAACGTTGTGACTCTTTGCCTGCTCCCAAATGGCACCCTATTCCCTACACAGTGCACTACTTTGATGGGAACAACAAAGGGCAAAATCACCCATTGATAGGGAAATTTCGGGATTTAACAACAACA